TTCAAAGGAAAGCCAAGGATTTCCAGACTTTCCTAGTAACACTGGAGCAGCTTTTTAAAAACCTGTGATAAATCTATAGAAAGACTGTAACACAGTGGCAGAAAGCAAGCTTCTCAGGCTCAAGAAGCAAGCTCATTTCCTGGCATTTCCAGTTAACAGGGTCAATTAGCAGATGACCTCAAAAGTGGTGAGATATACTGAAATATAAAATAGGAATATTTACCTCTTTCAAATTTAGAGAAAGCAACCGACTTGAGGCTGCACTGGTGCCCTTTGCAGACTCCCAGTAGCTCACTAGTCCGTATATCCCAGACTTTTGCAGTTTGGTCTCCTGAAGCGGTAACCTTAAAAGATAAAGAAGTTAGCTAATCATTGTAGTTAAAAAAGAAAGAAAGAAAAAGGCAGAGTCCTGTTGCCCTCCAAGACTATAGCTTGTATTGGCATGAGCTTTGGAAGGTAAACCATGTTTCCTTTCAGCATAAAAGACACTCTTGACACTCTCAATGCAAACCTATGGGTGTTTACTCCAGCAAGTTCAAAGGGACTTACTCCCAAGTCTGCATATGATTGCAGCCTTAGAAGGTGGCAGCAACAATATGACTCAAATATGAAAGTAGAAGTTTCAAAGGTAACTGAACCACAAATAACCAGGCCCCAATTTTGCAATTACTAGACCTAAGTTAGTTATGTAAATTTCAGTGATTCTACTCTGAATGGCACTGAATGCACTGTGTAAAACATACATAAATTGTAAGTTGTAAATTTTATATGCTGCTGCTGGGTCAAAGTATGGGATCTAAACCATTACTGTAAAGGCATTCTGTAAACAGAGACTCAATCATGAATTTTAGGCAAACCGCAAGATACAGAATTGGATTCATTCATGGATACTGCCCCTTTACATTTTTTTAAGAATGGCTAACAAGGTCAGCAGATATCCAAAAGGTTAAAAATGCCCCCTACTAATGGCCACCTTCTGTACATTTCCATCTTTAAGAATCCACTTGTGGACAATTCTTTATAGATAGATTGCCTCCTTTGGCCTATGAAACAACAGAACACAATGATTTACCTGCATATCAGGTAAACCAACTTTTGAAAGTATGAGTGAGGTTACTGGGTCTACTAGTGATCTTATCATAGAAGAGACGGAAAGAACACTGGAATTTGTGACGGCACATACAAAGGGCCAAACAAGGAAGGGATAGTTTTAGCTTACTCACAATTTTATGTTCTCCAGGCACCCAAGCAAGATCAAAAACAGCGTTTGAGTGAGCCTGCCACTCTATTGGGAAAATAAAAGCCTGTGTTAGTTCCAAACAAACAGCTGTTGAAAAACACTGAAACAACTACAATTTACAGTATTGTGTGCCCATAAATTTCATACAAACACAACTTTCTCTGTGGTAGAGCAGTTAGCAGGAAGAAACCCCAAGCACAGAGCAATGCATATAAGGTATGAAGGAGGTGGCAAGGAAATAATCATCCTCTGAAGTTTTGACTTGCCATCAACCAAGTAAGAAAGCAGTAATGGAAGCAGACATAAGAATTACAATGAAAGGTATGCCATGCTACTTTTTAAACACTAAAGTTCTTGTTCCCAATAACTGCCAATTATTTAATCAGTCAATACACTTTTTTTGTTTACTGCCTTTATCAACTAATTCAGCTCATAGTTCCCATCAAGGTTTCCCTTTTACCTCTAAAAACCCCCTTGTTACTTTTTTGTGTATGGGTGTCGTAGAGCCTCACAAATCCTTCTTCATTTGCAACGGCAAGTACATGCTGCACATCTGGAGCTGGAAAACAAAGCAGTATTTGTACATTTGAAAACATTTTTAAAAGTGCTTTGGATAACACGCCACTAAAGATGCAATTTAACAGCACAAAATGTCAGGATAAAAATGTTAAGTAATCACAGAACTAAAGTAAAGTAAGAACATATATAAAATAATGTATCACAGCCCTGTTATTTTATTATACGGCAACATAGACATACTTCTATAAATAAGCAGTCATAAAGATTGGTGTGCATCTGTACTGGAATTGTTATAAACATGTTTTTATTGCTAGTTGTTTTACCACCTTGGGTTCATATGGGAGGTAGAATGGAATATAAGCTAAATAAATAAATAAATAAATAAATAAATAAATAAATAATATAGCCCCTGCAGGTTTATATGAAAGGCCCAAACATTACAGTATAGCCTTTCTTCACAGAGGAGTTGCTCCAGGCCCTTGATCATTTTGGTTGCCCTTTTCTGCCACACTGCAATGTTTACAGATAAAATTCCCCCATACCTGTTGAAAAGGTGCAGCCAAAAGGAGGAACTGGCATTCCTGTTTCTCCATATGATGCATGTTCATCTCCTTTAGTACACTGATAGCACTCCAAAAGGTGGTTTAAGGAAAACTTTGGTGGGAGACCTGGGGAAAAATGATTTTTGGAAAGATAAGCAGTGTTCGAAACTCAGATATACAAGGTAGGAGCCAAATGGCTCCTTAAACCAGGGTTACAGTCGCCAAAACGGAATGCCTGGTTACCATTTTTGGGGCCAGGTAGCTTGAAAATTGTATTTTTCAATACAATTTTTTGGTTCCTGAAATTAATTCTGATTGTGCAGATAAAATACAATGAATAGAATTCTACTGCAAAGAATTGAAAACAGTCAAGATCCAAGGATCCCCAGGCATGCACCACCAGATGGAGGAGATATCAGATGACATCCTGGCACCTGGGCATCTTCACTTGGTTGCAAGTGGCCGATTGTTGCTGTTTAGTAGAGTCGGACTCTTCGTGACCCCATGGACCAAAGCACACCAGGCACTCCTGTCTTCCACTGCCTCCCAGTTTGGTCAAACTCATGTTAGTAGCTTGTTAGTGAGTGTCCGATAGCCATGTGCAAAATGCTTGATGATTTTCAATGCTGAAGCTAAGTACCAAAAACTCTGCAAACAAGTTTATAAAACTGCAGCTGACATTTATGCTGTCCTCAAATCTACTATTTCACTGGTTCTGAGCATCATTCAAATGGGCCATGGCACGTCCACGTTAAATAAGTGTATTGATTATTAATTATATTTTATTGCTTCTTTTATTTATTATTTAGTATCTCCACTGACTGATTTCTGATACTGAACACTCCAAGATAGGTTAAACTGTTGTCTGGAGTGAAATAGTGGAGGGGGAGGGGAGATGAGGAATCAAGAGTGCTGCATGTTAAGAACAGATTCCCCTGCTTCGTTTTGAAGCTCACTGGGTGATCTTGTGGGAAGGCTTGCCCTGCATGGCATAAAGTATGAGTCCTTTGGAGAAAATGTGGAATTAAAAATGGATACAACTTATTTATTAAATTGATACACTGCCCTTCATCCAAAGATCACAGGGTGGTTTACAGCATAAAAAATACATGAAAACACATCAAACAAACAAACAAACAAACAAACGACAAGCACATTTAAAAGACCACTGATTGTTTAATTAGCCAAAGGCCTGGGAGAAATGGAATGTTTTTGCTTGGTGCCTAAAGACATGTAGTGAAGGCACCAGGCGAGTGTCCCTGGGGAGAGCATTCCACAAATGGGGAGCCACCACAGAAAAGCCCCGTTCTTGTGTTACCACCCTCAGATCCTCTCGCAGAGGAGGCACCCGAATGATTGTAGGGTCCTGGTTGCTTCATATGGAGAGAGGCAGTCCTGAGGCTTCAGAATTCAAACCCGCACCTTGAACTGGGCCCAAAAACTGGCAGCCAGTTGCTGTTGGCACAGGCATGGTGTACAGTGGTACCTTGGGTTACAGGCGCGTCAGCTTACAGACTCCGCTAACCCAAAAATAGTAACCTCAGCGTTCAGAACTTTGCTTCAGGATGAAAACAGAAATCGTGCGGCAGTGGGAGGCCCCATTAGCTAAAGTGGTACCTCAGTGTTAGAATTCAGGTTAGATCAGACCCCAGGTTAAGACTTAGGACGTACGACCTCAGGTAAGAACTTAATCCTTACCAGCAAGACACTGAGGTACAGGTACTATGTTAAGACTTAATTCATTCCGGAGGTCCGTTCTTAACCTGAAACTGTTCTTAACCTGAGGTACCACTTTAGCTAATGGGGCCTCCTGCTGCTGCTTGCGCCCGCCGGAGCATGATTTCTGTTCTCCATCCCTGAAGCAAAGTCTTAAACCGAGGTACATTTCCTGGGTTAGGCAGAGTCTGTAACCTGAAGCGTAAATGTAACCCGATTGTACCCACTGTAATTTGCACCAGTTGTCCTGGTGGGCAACCTGGCCGTTTAATTCTGCCCACCAACTGACGTTTTCCCAACCGTCTTCCAAGAGGCAGCCCCAATTAAAAGGGGGGCTCAAGGCAGCACTCGAACTAAAAGGGACGCAGAAGGGGCCTGACCCGCTTTCTGCAAAGGGGAAGCGCGTGGTTTGGCCAAAATTAGGGTGAGGGGTGAAGAAAGGGGCTGTATCTCCCTCCCCCCCCCCCGCCGTGACTGGAGCGCTGGTGAAGCGGCGCAGAGGGAGACGTTGCCTCAGATACTCACCCCGCGGCCCAGCCTGGCAGCGGCGAACGAGAGAACGGCACAGCATGGTAACGACGGCCGCAGCGCACACTCCTGCCCTTTCCCCGCGCAACGACCACCGGGAGCAAATGAGCGGCCGGCCCCCTGCTTCGCGACGCTATCTCCCGCCAGCCCGAAGTACGCGCCAAAGTCGCCTCGCGCGTAGCCATTGGATAGCGCAAAGGAATAGACCCCGCCTCCTGCTCGCCATTGGCTTCTCCTTTCCCACCGGCAAGGTTGAGGCCACGCCTCCCGCCGGCTATGAAATTGTAACAGGCACGTCTCTTCGATCAACACGCATGCGCGACAGCGTCCCGCAAACTCTCACGTTTCATTCGGCCGCTAAGGGAGCGCGATTACGACACGCGTGCGCACTAGAATAGCGGAGGGGAGGTTCCACCGCGCAGGCGCAGCTGACAGCCCGGCGTCTGCACATGCGCAGTGAATGGCCGTTAAAGACTGGAAAGAGGGAAGATAAGCGCGTGTGCGCGTCTGTGTGGTCGATAAGTGCCCTCCTCCCCGCCCCCTCCGGGCCTCGGCTGTCATGGCCTCTGCTTCCAAATCCTTCCTCGCCGATGCCGGCTACGGGGAGCAGGAGTTGGACGCCAACTCCGCCCTCATGGAGCTGGATAAAGGTAAGTCGAGGAGCGGCGGCCCCGCCGCCGAGCGAGATGTGCGCATGCGCTGATAGCGGCGCGAGGAAGTCCCGCCCCTTTTGATGGACGGTGGGGAGTTTGAAGGCGGGTTTAGGTTGTGTTTAGATGGTGTCACAAGCCATGCATGGGGATCTGTGAGACGATAAAAGCAACATAGAGGCTTGTTCCTCTCCGTTTAACAGTGTCATCCTGTGCAGAAGTAAGGCCCGTGGAGTTCAGTGGTCAGACTAGGAATGTGTGAGATTGCAGCTTTCTATTGTGGCACTTTAAGCTGTAACAGCAACAGTTTTATTATAACGTACTTTATGATAGCCCATTACGTGTGGTATAATCAACCTTGGTACACTCCATGGCAAAATCTTACACAGAATTAAATGTGTAGCGGTTGTTTAAGCGGGGCTGCTGCCTGCATGGTAACAATCAAGATTTCAGCCACTTAGCCATCTACAGGGGGATGTGGGTGGCGCTGTGGGCTAGGACTTGCCGATCAGAAGGTCGGCGGTTCAAATCCCCTTGACAGGGTGGGCTGCCGTTGCTCGGTCCCTGCTCCTGCCAACCTAGCAGTTCTAAAGCACGTCAAAGTGCAAGTAGATAAATAGGTACCGCTCCGGCGGGAAGGTAAACGGTGTTTTCCGTGCACTGCCCTGGTTCGCCAGAAGCGGCTTAGTCATGCTGGGCACATGACCCAGAAGCTGTACGCCAGCTCCCTCGGCCAATAAAGCGAGAGGAGCGCCACAACCCCAGAGTCAGCCACGACTGGACCTAATGGTCAGGGGTCCCTTTACTTTTAGTCATCTACAGATAAGGCACCCAAGACGTAATTATCCCAAATGAGTCTTGTATTTCTTCATCCCACCTAATGCACTGTGTCATAGAATCATAGAATCATAGAGTTGGAAGAGACCACAAGGGCCATCGAGTCCAACCCCCTGCCAAGCAGGAACACCATCAGAGCACTCCTGACATATGGTTGTCAAGCCTCTGCTTAAAGACCTCCAAAGAAGGAGACTCCACCACACTCCTTGGCAGCAAATTCCACTGTCGAACAGCTCTTACTGTCAGGAAGTTCTTCCTAATGTTTAGGTGGAATCTTCTTTCTTGTAGTTTGGATCCATTGCTCCGTGTCCGCTTGAACATCCTTTATATATTGGTCCCACATGCCACGAACAAGATGGCCTGCCTTCTTCCATGGCTGGCAGAGCCTCCACTTTCACAGATAACACAAGTCGCCCAGTGGAATTTTGTTGTTGTACAGTAACAGCTGTTAAGTCTGCACAGGTATACCGGTGTTCCAGATGGAATGATACCTTCCTCACCCTTGCTCTATTCTGCGAGGTTTCCCAACACCCTCCCGAGCCCAATATGGGGGGGGGGCAAGCAAGTCCTGTTGCTTAAGTGGAAACCCTTGCCCAGGGCTCCCCACTGACAATGTTCATTCAGTGAATCATCCCCCCCCCCCCGGCCAGCCAAAGTACTTCACGTGGTAGATTGTTAAGCTACAGAATTCACATCCACACAGTATGTTTACGGCCATCCATCTTAGATGGCTTTAAAAGCAGATTAGACAAATTTATGGAGCATACAGTTTTCAGTGGCTACTAGGCTCTGTTAGGAGGAAGGTAGGATATAAATAAATTTAATTAAGAAGCCATTTTTAACACTTCTTCAAGCTTAAGAGGCAGTTGTGGAACATGAGCTTGGAGAGCAGTATCGTGCCTGTTTCTTGCTAGTAGGCTTCCAATAGGTATCTGGTTGGCCACTGTGAGAACCTGATGCTGGACTAGGTGGGTACTTGGTTCAGTCTAGGAAAGCTGCTTTTATATTGCATGTCAGTTTGCTTCAGTTTTTAAAAGTCCAGAGTTTTTAACTGCTATGGTGGTATTCTTTGTCACAGGTCTCCGATCTGGCAAACTGGGGGAGCAGTGTGAAGCAGTTGTACGTTTTCCCAGACTCTTTCAGAAATACCCATTCCCAATTCTAATTAACTCAGCATTTTTAAAGCTAGCCGATGTTTTCAGAGTGGGGTAAGTAAAATTAGTTTGTTCCCAATTCTTAGTGTACAAGAAACTGGTGTTTTCAGTTCAAAGTACTGGCGATGACTCTTTAAAGCCCTTTTATGGTTTGGTGCTAAGATACCTGAATTACCACTATCTCCCATATGAATGTTGCTTGCTCAGTAAGGGGGTCCTCTTGCATGTCTCAAAGATGCCCGTAGTGGATT